TAAGTTATACTAAACAAATTATTACATATATTAAAAGAAAACAAACACTAATAATAAAAGTTTTTTTTTTTTTTTTTTTCACTAATGTTTTAAGCCCAAACACATGTCGATTTGATTTCCAAATATCGCATGCTCCACACTATCGCAGCCAATCGTATGGTCCAAGTATATACGATCATAGAATCCCTTTTTTCTAACTTGATCCAATATATTCAGTATTCGTTCCGGATTCCAATCATTACAAGATTTTCGCATTTTCAGTCGATTTCCCCCGGATTTAGCTTCATTATCGTCTCCAATCAACTTAGCATAATTCAATCCTCTTCTTGTCATTATTTCATCATCCACAACATCGTTATTAATCCCCATTTTCATTTCAAGATCATCCTTCAATCCATCTTCGTCATTGGACGTTTCATCAACATCTTCAATCGAATTTATTTCACCATTCGCTTCAGGTATGTCATTAAGTTTTACATCATCATTTGTTAATGACTTTAGTAAATTCATTATTATCGCATCCACTTTCATAACCTCGTCCAATGATGCTTCTATCACTACTACTGGTTTATTTTGACAACAATGTTCAACCTTCATTTCATTAGTATCACCTGCATCGACAGATTTTTGACAATAAACGAACATCTTATGTTCATCCTTTTCAACTCTAGCTCCAACATCTTTCGGGTCATCCGATCCAACCATGTTTCCAATGGTCTTCACGGGTAAGATTTCATTTTTCATTTGCAACACAACAGTTCTTTTTCCTTTACCTGTTCTTATTCGTTTACTCCTTTCTTTAATTTTCATAGATTGTACATCTATCACAAGTTCCTGACCTTCACGTTTTACTTGTTCCGGGCAGGAGTAAGCTAAGTATCCTTGCCATCGACACACATAGCATAGTCGAGGCCTTCATTGTTTCGTCTACGTAGCGTTTAGGTTATTCATAACCTCTTTTACAACAATTTCTGTCACCCTTTTAACCAACAACGAGAGAAAGTCTTCATCTTCCATTTCTTTCGTTTCACAACTCAAGTTACGTTAGATTTTTTTTTTTTTTGTTTATTTATTTTTCACTAACAATGTCCTTTTCTCCACAATACGTTTCGGCGTAAACTTCACTTGCCGAGTTCCTTCAAACAAGGTTCTTTCCACAAAGTATAAGACCAGTTCAGTTCTTTAACGAATTTTGCGAGCAGAACTTTCGTCTGCCCAGGTCCTTTCTTGTCATATCTGTTTTCACTTATAGGGGTTTTGGGCTCGATTCACTTAGTCAGAGCACTCGCTTTGCGCACTGGTGTATCATACCAGGCACTACTACCTATACTACTGTGTATATACTAGAAGCAAAACAATCGTTATTGATTCCAAAGGAATCAATACTCTTTTTATTAGATTATCAATCTGGGTACTTGATTACCCGGGTTATACACATTATGCAATACTTACAAATAGACTATAAATTAAATTCATGTATCAACAATCACACCATTAACATTACCCAGTAACCCGTGATCGTACCTAACCCTTTAGCAGGGACAGTCAAGCCATTGGCTATCCTGAGTCAACAATTACCATAAAGAGGCGTCATGTAATAAATAAATATAAATTAATTTTTAAATAGTATTTATATAGGGGTGTGATTATTAATATATGTGATTCCTGTGTGACACTAGATTAAAGACCCGATCAAAGTAGTTTTGTAAGTAATAATGAA